ACCACAGGTGAAACTTCCATTTCTTCTGGATTGTCACTGGCGCCATTGCCCCCTCATCCCCTCAAACTCAACTCACATTGTCTCGTGTTATATCCAGCGCTTCTACTTTTTCTTACAGGACATCTTGCTCAGCTCCTATTGGCCTAGTATTTGCCTTCCATCTTGATGTCCCTATTTGTGGGGAAAATCTGAACAATTTTAAGTCTGGCTAAACTTGACTGTGTGGGGTAGGCAGGAATACATAGCTTATATTACTTTCAAGTCATATGCCTCAGCAATCTACGTTGAATCTTTGAGCAGGAACCATAATGTTCTTTCTAAATTTTAAACCTTCATTCTCTGCTATTTAATGTGTGCACCTCTTCTTTGTCAAATAAAAACCTGTTTTTTCCCACCATTCTGATGAGTGTACATTTGCATGTGGCTGTACACGAACACATGACATCCTCTAGTTCTATCCATGTTGTTGCAAATTGGATGGCTTTGTTCTTTCTTAGAGCTGCATAGCATTTCATTGTGTATAGTATTCCATTGTGTAGATATATATACACTACAACCTCTTGATCCATACATCTGTACTTGAATATTTGAGTAATATTTCCCTATTTGTAAGGAAAATCTGAACAATTTTAAGACTGGCTAAATTAGACTGTATGGGGGAGACGGGGATATGTAGCTTACATTACATGTAAGTTGATACATTACTTTGGTTAGTTGATAATGACAACAAAAGCCACTTCCTACAGTGATTTGGTGCCTTGGTCACTTTGGGCTGCTATAATACAACAGTGGAGTCTGGTGTTTTATAAGCAACAGACATTTATTTTCTGTAGTCCTGGAGATGAAAGAGGATGAAAGAGATGTTACTGGGGCCTGCTCGAGGCAATCGACGAATAAAAGGATGATGAAATGAAATGAGTCCTGGAGAATGAAAGGCAGAGAGGACAGTGTCCACACAGCTGGTCATGAGGGCCCTCTTCTAGTGCAGCCAGATGTTTTTCTTAGTTTCTCTGGAACTGGCTGAGAGGGTGCAAGAGGGTGCAAGAGGTGTCTGGGTTTCCTCCATGAGGCCACTAACGCTATTCGTGAGGGCTTGGCTCTCCCTGAAGGAAGGACCTGCCAAGAGCCCACTGCCCTGTGTACACGCTGGGGTTGGGATTTCAATGGAAGGATTTGAGGGAGACACAGATATTCAGTCCAGAATGGGTGGGCTGACATTGATGTTTGTCAGGGAAAAGGCACAACACTTGGAGGGGAGGGAAGATGGGGCCTGAAATCAGGATTATATCAAAATTGATCCAGATAAAGGAAGATCAAGCTTAACTGTCTGCTGTGGTGACAAGTACTAACTATAAAAATGAAAGATAATTAGAAAAAACAGTGCTCTAAAGCCAGTTTTAAAAGCTGAGACAGACTGAATAAAGATATAAAGACTTGAGAACCATGCGGGAAAGCAACAAATATGGATCTTTTATTTCCTGCATCACAGTCTGACAACAGAGGTCCCCAATCCCCTCCTCTCCTTTGGTTTATATTCAAACCAATCACACCCAGTAGCTCTGCCATTCTAAATCCAGGGAGGTCGCTGGCCCACCAGGAGCTTTCCTCTTCTTCTGGTTGGTCATCAATATGACCTGTGAGATTCTGTCTTCTGGATTTTGCATTTTCTAGCAGAAGCCTGGTTGGAACCAGGCTCTGCCACTCAGAGGATGTGGCAATTCTCTCCACCCATTGCATGGCACATGACAACAGCATTTTCTTCCAGAGTTGTACGGAATGAAACCCCACAGGCACTGTGGCGGAGAGTTAGACACAAAGAGACCTTAGCCACCACAAACGTCTTCAGATCATCATTATCAAAGTTCTGAGTCTGCTTCTAGATGCTGGGAATTCAAAGCACAGAAAACAGGCCACCAGAAAGTACCTAAGCATCTATAATAGAAGTGGGGTCCACACTGACGACTTGGGATCTGAAGAGCCCGGCAAGCCAGATAGTTTCCTGACACCTCGTCACTGGGTGTGGCTCTGCCACGGGGAGGAGGCCCAGAGTCCAGCTTCTATGTGAGCGCCACCATGGCTCCCGAGCAGACCGCAGGGCCGAAGGCACGGGGGAGGTTTCTGGGCCTGCCAAGTGCCCAGGCGGCCCTGAACTCTGCACACAAGTCCTCAAGGCCTGGGACTCCAGCTCTGAGCAAGAGCTAAAGGTTTCAGAAACTTCCACACAGTCCTGAATGATGCATTTCCTCCACCTGCAAGGGGCACCAAGGCAGAGGAGACGTATACCTTCGGAGACCCCACAGCACTGCCCTCATTCCTGTTGTCACCCGCAGGTAGGAGCGGAGCCTGGCACCCAGACCTGGGGCCTTTTTGTGCTCCGCTCTTACCTTCTGCCTTTCCTCCCTTTACTTCCTCTGGATGCCTCTGGCTGGAATCCTTCTGCTTTAATTCGAATGAAGCCAGCCTGTTGGAACCTCTGGGGTTGGGGGCGCTGCTTTACATTCAGGATACAGAGATTTTAATGAAGCCAAAATAAATGATCTTGACTGCTTCTTCACTCCCTGTACTCCCCACTCCCAGAGACTTGCCTTTGATAGAAAGCCCTGGTCCAGGGGTGTGAGAGCACTGACTTCCGAGAAACTCACATCTGCTCCAGTGTCCTTCTTCCCAGCCTGGGCTTCCGGCAGCCCCCCTCCTGCTGACAGAAAACTGATGTTTCTGGTTAAGGGTGAATCAAAGCCCAAGGCTGGCCTGGGGTGTGCAGCTGCAGCCAAGGCTGACAGATGGTGGAAAGCAGGGCACATCTGGGGCTGACATTTCCTGCCAGCCAGAAAGGGAGCTGCCCCTGCTATCCACTTTTGCAGCAGCAGCAGTGACTGTCCAGACTCAGTGTTGTCGACTGGGGAACAGAAGGGGTGGTGTCCTTGCACTTGTTCTGAGTCAGCTGGAAGCAACCTGCACGGACCACCTTGGGCACGGGGCTCTCGGCTTCAATGGAAACTGCAATTAGCCAGAGACACTGTGTCCATTCTTAGTCATTTCTCTGAGGATGTGCATATGAATGGTGTGTCCATGTCTTCCCATAGCAGCTAACTTCCAAGTGGAATTCCATTTGTACAGTATTAACACACACAGTATGTACTAAGCTATCCCATCCAATGTCCCAACTGACACGTGAAAGGGGTTTCATGTGCACCTGTGAGAACTACAGCTGCACCTGTGAGAACTACAGACTTTCACACGTGAAGGACAAACAACTCCAGAAATGCAGCTTTCCTAAAGAGAGTGGAGTGGAGTTTGACGGCAGAACTCTGCTGTAATGCATGCTTGGTCCCTTAAGATGGTGTTAAGGATCCAAGGAATGGAATCATGAAGCCCTTGTGGAAAAGAACTTCAGTTTAACAATCAGTTGGATCACTAAATATGCTCACTTTATTCACCCTCACTCCCATAACTCACAGCTCCCCAAGTTGGAGATGTCCGAGGACAAGGGGAATAAGAGCGATTGGCTGCTGTGTTGGCGCCAAGTGCTGTGTTGGCTCCTGTGGGGAGCGCCCAGCTCCTGCCTCTGGAAGCACAGGCCTTCCATACCCACATCTTGCTGCTCTGGGCTGCATCTTTCTCTTCTCCTGCCGGTCTGCCCACTTGCAAGCAGACAGGAAGCCGTGTCTCCCCACCAAGACCCCACGCTGCCCACCAGGGCACAGACCAGTGATGCCTCTTTCTTTAAACACTATTCAACAGTATTCTTTGCACAAGACACCCAAGGTCCTGTGTCCAAAATGTAAGTTAAGTGACAAATGAGCCTGAAATGAATGCTGATCATAGCAAGCGGGGCTTAGGGGGAACTTACTGACAGCCATCACTAACCCACAGAAAATCACATCCCACTCTTGCCCATGGTGGTTTTTAAAGAATTAAAAACATGTGATGTTTTTCAGCCATGCAGAACCAATGCTGAAACTGGATATTGGTCCTCACTCAATGCCAAATGCATTGGTAATAGGAGGATGGTTCTACTTTCGAAACCTTTTTTTTGGGGGGGGGTCACACAATGATGCACAGGATTTACTCCTGCTCTGCACTCAGGAACTACTCCTGGCACTGCTCGGGGACCATACGGGATGCTGGGAATCGAACCTGGGTCGGCTACGTGCAAGGCAAATGCTCTACCCACTGTACTATCACTCCAGCCCCTACTTTCGAAACTTTAGTTTGAAAAACTATGTCTAAAATCAAGACTACTTGGGTTTCAATTGTACAACTATCAAACACCCATCCACAACTGTATCTCATGGTGTTTCACTAACAAAAAAGTTTGGAGAATGGGCATTGGTGGAGGGATGGGTACTGGATCATTGTATAACTGAAACCCAAGCACAAAAATCTGTAAGTCTACAACTGTACATCATGGTGTTTCACTAATAAAAATTTAAAAAAAATCAAGACTACTTCCAAGTACTGGATTAAAAATCCCCAAATTCAGCAAATGTCAAACCTAACCAAACACTCTATTATTTCTATTAGTATATATTGAAAACAGAGCGAATAGGAGACTAGCGATCTAAAACATCATGATAAATATATAGGAATTACACAGATTCGTGTCTGGATTTGTTTTATGGCTTTTTGCTGCTATATTTTCTATTTTTCCACAAATACTCTCTTGAAATATTCACAGATCCTTATAATCTATTAAAATATTGCTATATGGAAAAGAGCGTCAATGAATCTATAGACACGGAGAAAGTAGTGTCTGGAGGCGGGTCAGAGTTAGGTAGACTCACTGCATCTTGTCCGGGATCACAGTCTATGCATTTAACTGCCTGATTACCAAACAACACACACACCATGTCTCTCAGTGAAGAATAAGGTTCTGATAAAGCAGAACTGGGGTGGGAAAGATGGGCGGATGCACTGACCCGGGGGTCAGCCACAAATACAGAAGATGTCAGGAAGATGCTGGCCAAGCCAAGTTTCGCCATGCCAGCCCCGCTCCTTACCATGTATGCCCGGAACAGGGCGGGGATGAACGACTGGTTGCTCAGGTTGAGGACCTTGGAAAAGTTCTGCAGGACGTAGATGCTCCCAAAATCAAGTTCCAGGGGATGCACGTAGATAACGGGGCCTTCTCCGATGCTCCTTACCTTGCAAATCTGCACCCACACGGGAGAAAGGACAGAGCAGTGACTGGCGTTGTGTCCTTGACTGAAACAGACACTTCCAGATGGCCTTCCTTCCAGGGCAGGGTCAGAAGCAGGCCTACGGGAAGCAGCAGTCTCTGCCCCTGGGCTCCGAGTTCTGTGGGACCCAGGGATGCTGTCTGGGTAAGCTCTGAGACTGTTCCGGGGACGTGCCCCTAAGTGAGCCTCACCTCGCTCTGATGGTCAATCAGGGTCCAGAGTGACCTGTGACCTGCTCAGGCCACCCGGACTTCATCCTGTGCCATACTCAGTCCGGGAGCAAGGCTGGTGATTCCCAGGCCATGAACCGGATAGGTCCCATTCTGCTGCCAGCCAGCAGTGTGACAGAGCTGGCCCTGGACGCTGACTGGCCCGTGAACTCTGCCTGTCCCTGTGACCTTGGTGGGACCCTACATGCCCAAGGCAGGGCCTTTTACCATCCTTCTAGCCCTGTACTCCACAAGCTGCACCCTTCGAGCCTGCTGCATGGGTCTTACCAGCGTCCAGGTGGTGGGACAGAGACCCTGAAAGGCACCTAGGATGCTACTTCCAGATGGAGTGGTGGGTGGGGCCCCAGAGAACTTGAGCCCCCGCCATGGTGGTGCCGAGTGGAGACGTCAGCCCCGAGCTCAGCATTCAGGAGACAGGTGACCACCAGCATGAGGAGGGTTTGTGCTGCAGTTCTGAAAACTGGCTCTTACCATTGGGGGGTCTTGGCTCCCAAAGGTGGAGATGCTCACGAGAGAACAGTGCTCCCCCCTGATCTGGGTCTCCAGAGACAGCGGTATGTGGATGGTGCTGTGGGCCTGGATGATCCCGCAGGGACTGGGACTGGAGAGCAGCATGGCTGGAGGCGAGCCTTGGGGTGCCTGTGGGGAGAGCAGGCAGCCGCATAAGCCCACACGAAAAGCAGACGGGGTGAGCATTCCAAACAAGAGCCATCCCAAGTCCAGGAAGGAGACGACTCTGCAGGTCGAAGGCTTGGTGGGACCTCCGCCACGACATGCTCCTCTGAGCACTGAGCTGGAGGTAGCCTCCAAGATCCCAAACCAAAAAAATTTTTTTAAAAGAATGAAATGTGTCATGGTCTGAGGAAGTAAATGGAGGTAAGCAACCCGACTTAGCCTAAGGGTTACGTGGGATCTATCTGAGTCCCAAAGTCAAAGTATACACCCTGAAAGATGCAGAAGTGAGCTGCTGGCAATGGGGGTTCATTCCAGACCACCTTCCTGCACCCAACGCTGTCCCGCCTGGCCCCCACTCCTCAGCCCTTCATGCTCCACCAGCAGAGGCTGCTGAGTCCCAAACACAGGGGGTTTCCACTCCTTTCTTCCCACCTCTTCTGGGAATGCCCACTCCCTGTCACCTGCATCTACCCTGGCCCCCAGGGCAGCCCAGAGCCAGGATTTACCCTCTGTCACTCTCCAAGACAAGTGGCGTCTGTCCATCTCCCCAGGAGCTGTGACCTTTGGACAGGACTGGGCCTCCCTCAACGCATACCTGCCTCTGTCTGCACACATGCTCAGAGCATGCTCTCCATGGGGAAGGAGAAAGGCAAGAGAAGAGAGCAGGAAGGAGGGCAGGAAGGCGGGCAGGAAGGCAGGAAGGCAGGAAGCATGAAAGGCTTGAAGGAAGCCAGGCAGGCAGGAAGGCAGGGTGTCAGCCAGTGCTCGCCAGTGTATGTAGCTCAGAAGCCTGTTCTGAAGAGGTACAGGTTCTTGTGCAACAATGACAATAGTAAATGGAACGAGGACCTTCCATAGCAACAAGCCTGGGTGAGTCAAGGCAACACAGTAGAGCCACTGCTGCTAGAGAGTGCTGGCAGCTGGTGCCTGCTGCCAGGCGCCTACAATTGACCTGGTCTGGTCTAGGCGGTCTCCTGGAGCCACACTGTGGGGAGAGGGGAACACAGATTCCATCTTCATATAGTCTGTTCATCACGACGTCTCTGCACTCATTGGTTTGTTTGGCTTTTGGGTCCCACCCAGCAGAGATCAGAGAAGAGCTTAGGGATCAACCCTGGTGAGGCTTGGGGACCATGTGGGGTGCCGGTGACCAAGGGCCCTTCCCATTGGACTACTGCCCTGGCTCTTCATCTTGCTTTCTTAAACCACGGCATGAAAATGTTCTGCCTCTTGCTCCTAGGGGCCCGTGGCTCCCCTTCAGTTCTCAGCTGAAGGGTGAGTACCTACAGCCTTGGGCCACCTCCCCAGCAGGGCTGTGCAAAAGCCGCAGGCTTAGCTCAGTGATCCTGGGCTGTCCATGTGTGCATGGACTGGCGTGTCAGAGCTGGAGAACAGTCATGTGGGCTCCAACTGGAGGGACTGCTTGTGTCAGAGCAGCCCAACGAACGACCCTATTTCCTTCCCAGGGTGCCAGCAGGAGCACTGAGGAGCCCCGCATTGCTGGGGTCAGTGGGGCTCTGGTCAGACCCAGATGCTGCCAACTCGCTGGGCCCCTTTCCCACACAGCGGTATTTGGGGGGCTTAGCCTCCCTTCCCTTTAGATCAAAGGCAAGATCCTGGGGATATTCGCAAAGCACCCCCACCCCGCCCTAGCCACTCTCTCACCTCCGCCCCCACGAGTGACAGAGGAAGGTCTCAGGGCTCTGGCTTCTGAAAGATTGCACTTCCTGCTTCAGGCTCCAGCTGAAGAAAGGCCAAGAAAGGTGCGGGCCCTCCCCTGGGCAGGCCTCACAGCACCCGGGAGGTGGCCCGAGGCTAGGGCACTTACCTGGGCAGGTTCACAGTACTTACTGAGTACTTACCTGGGCAGTACTTACCTGGGCAGTACTTACCTGGGCAGTACTTACCTGGGCAGTAAGTACTCAGTACTTACTCAGTACTTACCTGGGCAGTACTTACCTGGGCAGTAAGTACTCAGTACTTACTCAGTACTTACTCAGTACTTACCTGGGCAGTAAGTACTTACCTGGGCAGTACTTACCTGGGCAATAAGTACTCAGTACTTACTGAGTACTTACCTGAGCAGGCTCACAGTACTTACTGAGCACTTACCTGGGCAGGCTCACAGAGGCGGCCCGAGGCCAGGGCACCCACTGGACAGGCCTCACTGTATCCAGGAGGCGGCCTAAGGCCAGGGCACTTACCTGGGCAGGCCTCACAGTACCCAGGAGGTGGCCCGAGGCCAGGGCACCCACCTGCAGCAGCATCTTGTAGGCCCCTGGCAGGTGGCTCTTGTTGGACAGTGCAACGGTCTTCTCATACGGGTACTTCAGGAAGCAGTGCCCGAAGTTCACCTCCGAGTTCACCAGTTCCAGGGTGGGCACGATACACCTGCCCAGAGGAGTCCATTACGGAAGTGCAAAGGCTTGGGGGGGCACCCCAAGATTCTGTCACTGTTTTGCCCAATGACAAAGCAATAATTTTACTGGAGAGCGGGGAGCTTGTCTACAAGGGGAACACACGGCGTCCAAACAAAATGCATTCGTCACTGTCACCACACAGTTTCCCTCTAATAACCACATTAATCATTTTCAAATCTTCTCCCCTGTCACTCCTCCCCCCGGCCCACTGTCACCACTTTTTAATGGAAACTGGACGGGAAGCAGAACTCCTGGAACTGCGCAGTCTTGGCGGGCGCGGACTAACATCTCCTGTGCTTTTGGATTCAGCCTTCCCTGGGCGAGGGGCTGGTGCCAGCAGGCTGGTGGGGAGGGGAGGGCTCTATCCCATGGCACACAGGGCTGTCACGGGGTTCAGAGGCTGCCGCAGAAGTAAAGGCGCTGATTCTAACCCCCGTACCCGCAACTGCCTGGTGGGCACCAAGTCCGAGATTCCCCAGGGCTGCAGGAGGAGGGGAGAGAGCCGGGAGCCATATGTGGGCTGTAGTTTGAGGCTGCCCTGCCTGTGCATGTCAGCCCGAGGGCAAGCCTGTCCAGAGCACGGTCAAAGAGAGCATCACCAAACATCACCTGGGCACTACTGTCCCTGCCATGGTGCTGAGTGTTGCACAGGTAATGGGGGTAGGGTGGGTCCTGAGATATTATCCACTCCTGGAGTGGGGCTCTGGCAGCATGGCAGGGGGCTGGCCCATGGAGGAGGGCAGTAGGTAGTACTGCCATGTGGCTGATGGGAAGAACTAGGTCAGGAGCGAGCTCTGGAGCGACTCTCACACCGAGACTCTCCCTGCCGAGGTCATGACGTGAGGAAGATTCCTGACCCCAAAGTTGAGGAGCGGGAGAGCAAAGGAAGCCCAGCCCCAATGTTTGTCCTGCTTGAGCCTCCTTAGCCACATACTGGCGTCAAGTCCCCTGAGAGCACTGTTCTCCTGAACCCCTTGCCCCTTGTCCCTCTCCCTTTTCTCCTCATCACTGTTTTCTAAGCTTTGGCCATTTGCATAGCACATTCAGCGTCCCTGGCATGAAAAGGGACCCAATCTAGTATGGAGTGGCTGTGGGCCTCCCCGAGGGGTCCTGGGGAGCCCTACAGAGGGTGCAGGCGATACCTTGCTGTAACTAGAAGCGCCAGCACTTCCTCTCCGATGCCCTCCACGTCCACCACCAGGGCCAGCTCGTATTTCTGCACAGTGTTGGAGCATAAGGTCACCTGGATGGAGAAAGGGGAGCCCCATCAGCAGTCTGAGGCCTGGCTGTCAGGCTGTGCTGTGTGGGGGTGAAAGCGCCGGCAGAACCGCCCTGTCCCACACTGAGGGGGTGATAAGAGGGTGCTCAGGGGGTCTGAGCTTCTGCAATTTGAACCGAAGAGTTGTGTTTCAGGGTCCGAGCATGCTGGGGTTTTTCAAAGGTGAGGTTAGAAAATAAGTAGCCTTTAGTGTAAGAGGTTTGCTCACTTCGTGAGGGTCAAAGCCAGGAAGCCAAAGGATCTCTGAATGGGGGAAGGACCCAGGAGAAGGCGCTGTAGCAAACCAACTTTGATCACTGCAGCTTCAGCTCTACCCTATGCCTCTGTGCTATAGAAATGAAGGAAATTCAATATACCAATAAACCACTACGGCTAAGTTTCTCTTACAGCAAAATAAATGACCATAACCATGCCAATTCCAGAAAAGAGCACAGGAAATCAATTAGTCCTTAAAAAAAATCAAAATCTTTATCCTGGATCCAAGATGCACCATGAGAACAAAAAATAGGAAACTCCAAGGACAAGACTTGGACAGAAGTTTGCTCTGTGATTGATGGTTTCTGCTTCAGTGTCACACCCAGCAGTACCCAGGGGCTGCTTTAGGGTCACACCCAGCAGTACCTAGGGGCTACTCCTAGTGCAGTACCTGGGGCTCACCCCACAGCTCCCTCCAGAGGCAGAAAACCCCAGGGCCCTGACCCTGCCTTTTGATTTGCTGCTGAAAACTACATTTAGGCTTTCAATTTTTTTGTTATAATTTTTAATTGCTTGAACATGATTTGGAATGAAAAAGTTATTTGTAAATCTAGAAAACAGCTTCTGGCATAGAATGACTTTCTATAATAATTCATTAACCAGGTGCTAATTACAACTTTTTGGTTGCAGGGGGACTCACTGGGTACAGATTTGGACCCATCTGGACTGACCCAGTTGCTGGTCTTAGTAGGAGGGAAAAATGAGCCTGGGAGAAAACTTCTCCAGGTATAAGGGAAAATTAAAGTGAAGGTGGGGCACTGATTTGGAAGGAAACATGCTTATTTTTTTTGAGGAAAGCAGCTGCCTCAGCTGCAGAGACTCCTGGGTAGGACTCAAACCCTTTTCTATGCCCCTGAGTTACGGGTAGATGGCAGAAAATATATATGCAGCTGGGTTGAAGGCTGTTTGCATGCTCGCTTCTGGTCTTTCTGTACTAAATTAGTGAAACAAAAGAAATAAACAGGAAAGTTAAATAACATGTAATCTGAGCAATACCAATTGGCAAACAAATACATTGCAATAGCATTTCTCCCTGGGAAGTCAGTTAGGAACTCCTTTGGGCAGAAGAATTGTGACACGGTGTCTGACCTCGCCAGGCTTGTGAGGATGTTCTTGGAGGAGTCATACCACCCCCCAAACATACACACCACCCGAAAAAACTCAGGAGTCGAAAGGGACACTCCTTCACTGTTGGTGGGAATGTCGACTGGTTCAGCCCTTCTAGAAAACAGTATGGACGATTCTCAAAAAATTAGAAATTGAGCTCCCATTTGACCCAGCAATACCACTCCTGGGAATATATCCCAGAGAGGCAAAAATGTATAGTCGAAGTGACATTTGCACTTGTTTGTTCATTGCAGCGCTCTTTACAATAGCCAGAAACTGGAAGAAACCTGAATGCCCAAGAACAGATGACTGGTTAAAGAAACTTTGGTACATCTACACAATGGTGTACTATGTAGCTGTTAGAAAAGATAAAGTCATGAAATTTACATACAAGTGGTACAACATGGAAAGTATCATGCTAAGCGAAATGAGTCAGAAAGAGAGGGATAGACATAGAAAGAGTGCATTCATCTGGGGGACATAAAGTAACAAAATATGAGATTAATACCCAAGAATAGCTGAGATCAGCACCAGGAGGATTACTCCATAGCTTAGTGGCCAGTCGGGCATTCTAGAGGAAAGGGCAGCTCAGATAGAGAAGGGAACACCAAATAAAGGGTGTTTGGAGGATCCTCCCAGGAGGGGAGATGCATGTCGAAAGTGGACTATGGACTGAACATGTTTGCCACTCAATGTCTCTTTTGCAGACCACAACACCCAAAAGGAGAGAGAGAACACACAGGGGATTGTCCTGCCACAGAGGCAGGGGGGATGGGGGGATAGGGGTGGGGGGATATTATCCATGGTGGTGGAAAATGGGCACTGGTGGAGGGATGGGTATCTGATCATTGTATAATCAAACTCAAGCACAAAAAATTGTAAATCTACAACTGTACCTCATGGTGTTTCACTAATTAAAAAAAAAATTAAAAAAAAAAGCTCAGGAGTCATCAATTCAAGGCTAGATACCATGAGGCATTTAAACGAGATCTGGGACATGAAATTATAGCTGATTTAAATATTCGAAGATAATAACTAATGAGAAAATTATCAATAGTCATGGAGTCTCATCTGATTTCTTCCCTGAAAGTATAAAATCACATCAAATTAGCAGTCTTTGATGTTGCTAGCCTAATTGGAGAAGTGAATGTGAAGAAAACCTTTCTCATTTAGTCCTGAACAATTCGTACTGAAGTCTCTGTACGTTGTGCAGGGAGCCGGGGCCCCAAACTGAGAGCATGGCCGGGAGTCTCATGACAGCATCTCCAGGAAGCCTAGATGTAGCTTTAAAAAGCCAAGTAAATCATCTTGCAAAAATTTTGGATTTTATTTGAGCAAATGATTGGAATCTGAAGCACTTAATTAACAATGGTCTACGGAGTCCTTTTCTATTGCAAATAACAGAAGCAAGTCCTGTTTCTACTTTGACATGTGCACAGCCGTGTAGGGTGGAGGTTTTACTTTGTCAGGCCCAGTGTTTCGGCCGATGCAAGGTGAAATCTAGGCTATAGTGTCATTCTTTTGCACATCACAGGTGTGCCCTGCCTTTGTGGCCACAGTGGCTCATTTGTCCACGTAACTCAGAGGACACCCCCGCCTCCCATGGTGCTGGGGAAGAGTGCCCCTTAGTGATGCCCCTAGTTACTGGGGAGTTCAGCTGCGTGGCTGTGTGTGTGAATGCTAGGCAGCTTACCCGGATGGCAGTGAATCCTTGGGGGCGAATGGTGCCACTGTCAGGGGTGATGGTGAATTCTTTTGGCTTCGTTGTGGGTTTGGCTTCCTCGTTCCAAGACAGTCCTCCTTGGTCTGGATTCTTCTCACAAGCAGAGAAGCTGCTATGGTCAACACCGTCCCCAGGAATGCGCAGTTTGAAGGTCATTGAGACCAAAGAGGTATTATTAAGGGAACATATCAAAGTACGCGGGAACCCTGGAACACAAAATACGAGGTGAGAACCAGAAACCCTACAGCTGTCTCTCAGTAACCGGCACCTCCTGAGCCACGCCCACCTTCCTAGCTCAAGGGTCACTGTGGTCCTCACTACTGGCTCAACTCCACTCCTCCTTGGTCACTGTTTCCTGCTGGCTCATAGGTTGGCTAACACATCTCCCTCCCTTCATCCATGCATTCGTTTATTCAGTGAATATATATTGTGCATCTCCATGCTGCAAAAACCAGAATGAACAATCTCACCATCCTCCAGAGGGGGTCTCTCTGCTGAGCAGTCTTCCAGATATAGAGTTAGCATAAAATTTTTGCAAATAAATACATATTTCCCCCTATTCATAACTGTGCTTGCTCTTTTTAGATGTGTGTGTGTGTGTGTGTGTGTGTGTGTGCGCACATGCGCACATCTGTGGTGGGGGGCTGTCTGCAGTGTGACCTAGAACCTGCTGATGCATTGCATAACTCAGCCTGTGCTCCCAGACTGGCAACACAAAATCAAATCCTAGCCTTTTTCCCAGTCTTTGAAGCAGCCAGAGGCCACTCCACCAGCTTTTATCTCTGCTAAGCAAAGTAGCACTTTAGCACTGTCCTCCCGTTGTTCATAGATTTGCCCAAGCGGGCACCAGTAACGTCTCCATTGTGAGACTTGTTACTGTTTTTGGCATATCAAATACACCATGGGGAGCTTGCCAGGCTCTGCCACATGGGCGGGATACTCTCGGTAGCTTGCCAGGCTCTCCGAGAGGGACGGAGGAATCAAACCCAGGTCAGCCGCATGAAAGACAAACACCCTAACTGCTGTGCTATCACTCCGCCCACTTTGCTAGGCAAAGTGGTGTTTCCTATTCTTTCTTCCTCACTTTTCAATTCACTGAGGTCATGTTCTTTCCTCACAGAAGTGACTCCTCCTTGCCTGACAAACAATAAACTAAGCACTGATTTTGGATTTGCAAGGTGGCCATTGTATCTGTTGTCACTTTCAGAACACAAATGATGGATTGACAAGCATGTACGTGAGAACACCTATGTTCATCTCCACGACTGCCAGGACTCTATTCGGGCCCTTCTGCCAGCATGTTGGTCCTATGCAGTGACCATCACTGGAGCTACCGTGCACCGCTAGGCTTCTCTCCCTGATCTGAGCCTGTGTGCAAAGACATGGACTGCTGGAGGAGGCACGGAGTGTGTCTGATAATGAGCCCATACATGCCAATCGACTTTGGTGAGCTTTTGTGAGAAAAGAGTGTCAGGCTAAATGTGCCCTCAGGGATATTCTGAGAATCCCACAGGAAAAGCTGGAAAGTTGCGTCTATAATCATGTAGTTCATTTTAACTTTTCTGAATTTGTCCAACAATAACTCTTGAAACTTATTTCACCTGAGCATTTATGAACCAAATGATTTTTTTCACATAAGTTGTGTTATGGAGTGGATTCCAATTCCAAATCATTCGGATTCCTATAGGATATTAGTTTATTGAAGACTAAAGGTCACTGTCTGTCACTGTCCTCCTGTTATTCATTGATTTGCTCGAGCGGGCCCAGTAATGTCTCCATTTTGAGACTTCTTGTTACTGTGTTTGGCATATTGAATATGTCACAAGTAGCTTGCCAGGCTTTGCTGTGCAGGCGAGATACTCTTGGTAGCTTGCCGGGCTCTCTGAGAGGGGCGGAGGAATCGAACCCAGCTCGGCCGGGCTGGCTGCACATAAGGCAAATGCCCTACTGCTGTGCTATTGCTCCATTAATATGAATGTAATTCCTATATTTTGGGTTGTAACAAATTCTAATACACATTTTTGGGGGTTTTATGGCCACATGTAGCAGTACTCAGGGCTTACTCCTGGCTCTGCACTCAGAGATCACTCGTGGCAGTGCTCAGGACACCGTATGGGGTGCCAGGGATTGAACCCAGGTCAGTCACATGCAAGGCAAATGCACGACCTGCTGCACTGTTGTTCCAGCTCCATAATATCTTATTTTTTAATTGAATCACAATGAGATACAGTTACAAAGTTGTTCATGATGGAGTTTCAGTCATATAATGTTCCAACACCTGTTCCTTCACCAGAATATACTATTTTAAGAAGGAACACACTCAGTGGTGTTCAGGGATTATTTCTGCCTCTGCTTAGGAGTGACCCCTGGTGGTGCTTGGAGGGTCAGGTTGTTAGGGATGGAATTGGGATCAGCTTGCAAGGCAAGTGCCTTAACCCTTTGTCTCTCTCTGTCTCCCACCATTCCCCTCATACTATTCTACTATATGCAGACAGAATACCTAATACAAATACTATCTAAAGTTGTGCCTAAATGCAAGTATTTCAGAGTATAAACCTCTATTCCCCTCCTTTAGCATCTGGTACACAAAGTCCAAAATTTATATGTCTGTTCTTGGAATAGTTAAGATAAGCTTGAATAAAATGCCTCAAAGATTTACAGAGGTATATTCATACTTCTCCCAGGGCTTCGTGATTTCAAACACAATGTTCTCAGGAGATTTTATTCTCATTCAATATGTACATTTCCACCTGATCCACAAAATATCCTAGAAGATTTCTTAAAGAAGGTAGAATCAAATTACCTTAAGGCTGCAAAACTGTCTTTTCTACCCTGACAAAAGGTCGCGAGTGCTTTGTATGTAATAAGTTCTCTTTAGGAAGGAACAGTCTTGGGCCAGGAGGGATTAAGTTGACTCAGCAATACCAAACAACAAGAACTAAACAACAGTTGACAGGCTTTGGGGGATTCATAGAGTTTTTAAAACAACGGCTTCCTAATTTTTCTAGTACAATAAAAAATTTTTCACAAAGTGAAAGAAAATGTATTGTCAGATCAGTGAGCCCCTAAACAGATGGCACTGTTGTAGTTCACAGAATAACTCAGAATAAGTAAAGTAAGTAGGAGCGATAGCACAGCGGGTAGGGCGTTCGCCTTACACGCGGCCAACATGGCCGACCCGAGTTCGATTCCTCCGCCCCTCTCGGAGAGCCCGGCAAGCTACCGAGAGTATTCGATATGCCAGACACAGTAACAACTCAGAATATGGAAGAGAAAAACACACACAGCAATCCACTGGGGGCAATACAAACTAGCCTCAGACAAAGAAAACAAATATTGTCTAAAACTGCACTTCTCCGTGTGCTTCAAAGGTCTTCCTGTCCCTGGGGCACCAACTATGTGTGTGAACACACCAATTTAGGATCTTGGGTCCCTCCATGGAATATTCGCGAGAACTCCCAAGTCAGGGCTGGTGGCACAGACTTCTCCTGTTGTCGGGGTGTGACTGGGTCACAGTAACAGTCCAGGAAAACTGTACACTGGGACATGGGCCTGAAAGGGCCTGAGCAGGAATTACAGTTCGAAAGGGCTTGTGATTGGGTATAAATCCGTTCCATTTGTGTCCCAATGCCCAGCCTCTCGGAGAGCCCAGCAAGCTACCGAGAGTATCGTGCCCACATGGCAAAGCCTGGCAAGCTCCCCATGACATATTTGATATGCCAAACACAGTAACAACAAGTCTCACAATGGAGACGTTACTGGTGCACACTCGAGCAAATCCATGAACAGTGACAGTGACAGCTCAGCCATTACTAAGGAACTGTACTCAGCATTCCCACATCTCCCACAGGTAGGAAGTGCGCTAACAAACCCCACATGATGCTGGCCACCGGGTCACCAACTTCACCACACACCATACTTGGGAAGAGCAGACTACACAGATGGGATTATTGGATTATTGGTCTGTTTTGACTGATCCAATCCCGATCCTCTGGAGCTCTTAAGTGAAAAGTTTCACATTTAATTATATTGGTTGGGAACTCAGAGAGAATTCACTGCACAGAACAACAGGGCTTGGGGGACCATTCAGAGGGTCGGAGTGCATGCTCTGTATGAGTGTGCCCGGGGTTTCATCCCCAGCACGGAAACGCCCCTGAACACCAGCTGGAAATTGCTCCCTGCCACCTTAGCCAAAACCACCTCCTCTCCGAGCCAAGGAACGTGGCCTCTCCATCACCTCCAACAGACACCTCTTCAGGAAGGGGCTTTTGTACTGACACTGGGATGATTTTACTAACTTAGAGTTACTTGACATAACCCTCCCTTCTACAAGAGTTTCTGCAAAACTTGGTCAACTCCACACGATGTGTGTGTCAGTCTGGAATCAGAAAAAAAATCCCTGGCTTACTCCTAGAAAGTTAACTTCTCTTTCATAGCTCTGTTTGATGGTGGGTGGGGGGAAAACACAGCTGGTGTTCAGGGACCTTTTGTGGGTCTGTGACCAGGGCCCACCCCTGGTGGTGCTCAGGGACCCCTAAGTGGTGCTGGGATTGGAATCAGTGTTGTGGGTGCAGCCTCATGCTAGGGAAGCACATTCACCTTTGGACTATTTTTCTGCCCCCCCCCCCCACCAATAATAATCTTTGTTTCTCTGTCTCATCAAAACCCCACTTGCATATGAGAATGAAGCTCGAGCGGGCCCAGTAACATTGTGAGACTTGTTACTGTGTTTGGCATATCGAATACGTCACAGGGAGCTTGCCAGGCTTTGCTGTGTGGGCGAAATACTCTCGGTAGCTTGCCAGGCTCTCCGAGAGGGGCAGAGGAATCAAACCAGGGTCGGCCATGTTGGCTGCATGCAAGGCGAACGCCCTACCCGCTGTGCTATCGCTCCAGCCGGATAGCACAGAGGGTAGGGCGTTTGCCTTGCATGCAGGCTGACCTGGGTTCGATTCCTCCACCCCTCTCGGAGAGCTCGGCAAGCTACCCATGGCATATTCTATGTTCCAAACAAAGTAACAAGTCTCATGATGGAGACGTTACCGGGCCCGCTCAAGCAAATTGATGAACAACGAGAGGACAGTGACAGTGACTTACATATGTGGGGCAATAAATGAAAGTTTCAATGACCAAGGACTGTGTTTCTAGATCTACCTAGAGAGACAGTGGAGTCAGGAGAACTCCCGTTTAGAACTGGGCAGTGGGGGTGTATGTGAGAGTGTGTGTGTGTGTGCGTGTGTGCGAATGCGCGTGCGTGTACATGCATGCAGTAATTTGAAAATATTAACACAAAATATTTAGAATCAGTTTGAAAGTATCACTGAACGGCCCCTAACTCCAGCCATTACGGTGTAGAGAACCCATAAGCACAGCCACTTCAATTCACAGGTCCAGCTGGGTTTCAAAGTCAACAGCCGTAGTTTCCCAGTTGGTAAATTTTGGCTGTTATTGCCAATACATCCTGCCCCACTTCAGAGAAGATGAAGGCTTTCACTGACAAGCCAAAACAAAAGGCAGCTTGGGGTTTGAAGGAAGACTTGGGGATATGTTTCCTGATCTTGAGGATTCTCAGCGCATCCAGGGCCCCATTGCGCAGGCTAAACACGGACCGAGCGTGCACTCTCTGGAGGGGGTGGGCGAAGCCTTGGGTCTATCCGGTCCCACTACCCTGAGAACGTGGGCTGCTCTTACTTAGCCAAAAGCCCTAGAGGATTTTGATCTTCCTTCGACGGGGTCTGCCTGTCACTCAAACATCTCTGAGGAAGTTAGTTGTAAACAGTTCTCCAGCCATTTTCAGACATTGTATAAAATATGGACAATCATCCTATAATTATGTCATTTGGGTCTATTTATATAAATTTTCCTAAAGTGTGTTCCTCATCCAATATATTGCATATGGGGGGCACTGTGCAAATAAATGAGTTCTAAATAAAACTGCTGTAACCCCCTCCACCAAATATTAAAGCAACTAGCAAATGTTATTATGAACTAGTTTTTTTTTTTTCACTTGGGAGGGAGAGGTCTGGGCGACACCCTGTGATATTCAGCACTTACTCCTGGCTCTGCACTCAGGAATCACTCCTGGAAGTGCTCAGGGGACCATATGGGATGCTGGGGATTGAACCTGGGTCTGCTGGCCGTGTGCAAGGCAAGTACTTTACCCACTATACTATCTCTCCAGTCCCTAAATCAGTAGTCTGTCACTGTCACTGTCACTGTCCTCCTGTTGTTCATTGATTTGCTCAAGCGGGCCCAGTAACATCTCAATCATGAGACTTATTGTTACTGTGTTTGGCATGTTGAATACATCACAGGTAGCTTGTCAGGCTTTGCCATGCGGGCGAGATACTCTAGGTAGCTTCTCGGGCTCTCTGAGAAGGGCAGAGGAATCGAACCTGGTTCGGTCAGGCTGGCTGCACGCAAGACAAACACCCTACCACTGTGCTATCAGTAGTCTATGGAAATATTTTTCCCAAGTACCTGGGTCTGGGCTGGAGTGATAGAACAGCAGTAGGGCGTTTGCCTTGCATGTGGCCAACTTGACTGACCTGAGTTTGATTCCTTCGCCCCTCTTGGAGAGCCCGGCAAGCTACCAAGAGTATCTTGCCCACACAGCAAAGCCTGGCAAGCTACACGTGACATATTCGATATGCCAAACACAGTAACAAGTCTCACAACTGAGATGTTACTGGGCCCGCTCGAGCAAATCGATGAACAATGGGAGGACAATGCTATAGTGCTACAGTGCTACCAGGGTCTACTTTAAACAAAATAACTAAAAGTCAAAAAAGAAAGGATTATGAAATAAAAATTTAGACTAGAATTCTCCAACCTTTAAAAAAATCAATTCCTAAAAGAAAATACTCACAGTGACTAATTTTAAATCAAATCAGTTAATTAAATGATTTAAATTAAATTTCTATATAATGAGAAATTAAATTAGGTTTTCCTAATGAGACAAATTAAAAACTAAGGAATAAGATTTTTGGAGTGGGGTTGAACTTCATAGATCCCACATGTCTGTTATAGCTATGCTTTTTCCCCTGTTTGTTTTTGTTTGAGGGCCACTCCTGGCAGTGCTCAGTGCTTCCTCTTAGCTCTGGTCTCAGGGATTACTCCTGATGGGACTCAGGGAACTATTTGGGGGCTGTGGATTGAAGCAAACTGGCCATGTGCATAGCAAGCACATTATCTGTTGTACCATCTCTCTGACCCTTATAGGCTATGCCTTTTTAACCCCCCCCCCCCCACCAAAACCAATTTTCACCCTCTTGGGGCCATCACAACACTATTGACAGTGCTGAGTGTCCTTGAGTCAACAGTCTGCCAGGGCTGTGTGGGAGCTTCTTAACTGTTCCAACGTTCAGGTCTCCCCTCCCTAGGATGGGAAGGTCAAACAGCACCTTCCTAAGATTGCCAGAAGGGCTCAATGTAGAGCCACATGTGTGATTCGCTCAGCAGCGATTGGGTATAAGCAAGAATCCAGACATGGAAACTCTGGCTGTGACTATCCTGACACACTCATTCCTGAAGGAGTTCAGGCAAGACAGTGACTCTGAGTCACCGACTGAGATCACACAACTGAAGAGAAGAACCTCCGGCCTGGAGTGACAAAACACTGGGCTCAACCCCCGCTGAGTTCACTTTGAACTTGAGGGCATCTCTGTGAGGAGGCCACTCAGGTGGCTGGCAAGTCAGAACCCGCATGTAAAGGGACTCTGGAATGTCCCAGGGTGGGGGGTGGGTGGGTAGGAGAGATGTTCTAATCAGTGGGAGAATAGCCAGAAGATCTGGACAGCAGGGGGGCAGGGGTGGCCTGTGGCAGTTTTATGCATCACAAGTGAATGAGGAGACATCCTCAAAATACCACTGCTGTAGAGGAAGTAGTCAGGAAGGAGACCCGGACCCACCAGGCTGTGACCCACAAACACAGGGAGAGGATCTTCGTCAATCTCCCTCCTCCCACGTACATAGGAAAGAAATTGGATTCAAGTTTTGAATTCCAATGGAAAAATACTCACCAAAGGAAATATCGCCAAAGTGCAGCGCAGGAACATTAAAATGGAAGGTCGGTCCAATGACACAGCCTCTGGAAGCAGAAATTCAAGTTGAGGAGCACGGACTGAGAATCCAGCTAGTTCCAGGAACTGAGAAGAAGGCAAGTGTTGGAAAGAACCTACTTCAACATCAAATCAAAGACAGAACTTGGGGCTTGAGGAAACTATGAGGTGATGATCTATCACATGGTTCTTAAAACTCTTTTTCAAGACTTAGACCATGGGCTATAGCAAATAAAGCTGCGGATAACTCATCACCACATTCTTCCAATGAGCAGGGCAGAACAGACATGCCTCCAAAATGATGGCAAAGAATGAAAATGTTGATGTCATGCACATAGTAGAAGGAAAGAAATAAAAGTCACAGGTCTCATCAAACAATGAACATCAAAAATAATCAATGATACCAGTTTTTCTGATCTTTCACTTGCATAATTAATACTCTCATCCAGTTCACAGCAACAACTAGCTGTGATTATGGCCAATCACTCTACTTCTCTAGCCATCCATTTCTTTTCTTTCTGTGTAAAAGAAATGGCTAGTATAGGGGATGTCTTTTGGGGATGGCGGCTACACATGGTAGTACTCAGGGATTACTCCTGGCCCTGTGATTAGGGATCACTTCTGACTGGACTTGGAGAACCATATGGGGTGCCAGAGATCAAACCCAGGTTTTCTGCACGCAAGGCCAGTACCCTACCCACTGTACAATTTATCATGCTGGCCCCAAGGAGGTGTCTATTCTATTTCTTTTTATTCAGAATATTAATTTTATTTTATTATTTTATTATTATTATCCCCCCTTTTTATTGATTCACTGTGAGATACAGTTACAAAGTTTTCATGTTTGAGCTTCAGTCATACAATAATCAAACACCCATCCCTTCACCAGTGAACATTTTCCACCACCAAAATTCCCAGTATTCCACTAGTGCTCCCCCCCCCCCGCTCCCGCCTCCTCCCCCCCCTGCCTCGTTCCAACGCTTCCCCTGCCTGTGTGGCAGACAATTTCCCCCATACTCTCTCTACTTTGGTTACATTTGAACACCAGTCCAACCACAACTCAAATCTGCGGAAAAGGCAATGCTAGACGATTTGTTTTGTATTGCTTGTTATGGATAGAATATAATGTCCAAGACATTCTGCGACGCTCTCTTCCGGGAGCTTTAGTTTATAGTCTCTGGGTCTTGGCCGTTGATGAGATTTCATAGTGCCAGGGGCAGTTTGTGGGTGTGACTACCAAGCTACTGGAAAACTGGGGACCTAGGGGGAAGAGGCCCAGTCCGGATCCAAGTGAGCTTGGAGATCTCAGTCACGGGTTCCTGTGTATTTGAGTTTTCCTGCCGGTCTGCTCTTGGGTGAGGTTCATCCCATCTTGGGTGAGGCTCATCCCCTCTTGGGTGAAACTCGTCCCCTCTTGGGTGAGGCTTGTCCAAGCACATGGAGAGTGGTTTGGTCATGGCGGTGGTTGGTTTTTGGAGATCTTTGGCTGCCAGGGTTCTATCTGGGGTGGGGAGGGAAACTCAACCCGCCCCCCTCCGAGGTGCCCCAGTGAAGCTGCCTGGCTTGGAGTCAGGACATTCTATTGGGGGGTGTCTATTCTAAACAATGGTCTATTTTTCTCTCAGCACAAGGCCTCAAGATGGTGGGATGAAGCACTTGCTTCAAATATGCACTAGATTTTTCATTTCATTTCATCATCCTGTTAATCGTCGATTGCCTCGAGCAGGCCCCAGTAACGTCTCTTTCATCCTAGCCCTGAGATTATATTCACGGCTCTTTAGGAGAATGAGACCCATCATTGTTACTGGTATTTGGCATATTTGGTAGGCCACGGGGAGTTTGCCAGACTCTGCCCTGTGGGCAGGCTACATTCGATAGCCTGCAAGTTTGTCCAAAGTAGGAATGAGATAATAAGATGTCGCGCGGCCGCAAATGCGGCCGCGCGGTTCCGGGATCTGGATTTTATAGTCTCTGAGTCTTGGCCGCTGATGGGATTACACGGCGCCAGGGGGCCAGGTGGTGGGTGTGACCCCCGCCTACTGGAATTTGGAGGATCTGGGTGGAAGATGCTCGACTCCAAATCGAGTAGGCTTGGAGGTCTCGGCCCCGGAACCCGCGTGGCTTTGTCCCTCTGCCAGTACCTTCAGGTGTGCGGAGAGTGGTCTCAGCATGGTGGTGGCTGGTCCTGGAGGTCTTCGGCTGCCGTAGCCCTGGTCGGGGCGGGGAGGAAAGCTCAACCCGCTCCCCTCCAAGGGACTCCGGGAAGGAACACCCAGGCGCGGGGGCAGAGACTGCACTTTTCTCGTCCGGGATCTGGATTTTATAGTCTCTGAGTCTTGGCCGCTGATGGGATTACACGGCGCCAGGGGGCCAGGTGGTGGGTGTGACCCCCGCCTACTGGAATTTGGAGGATCTGGGTGGAAGATGCTCGACTCCAAATCGAGTAGGCTTGATTATACTTTAAAAAAATTTATTATTGAAACACCATGAGGTACAGTTGTAGACTTAAAATTTTTGTGCTTGGGTTTCAATTATACAATGATCAAGTACCCATCCCTCCACCAGTGCCCATTTCCCACCACCATGGATCCCAGTATCCCTCCCACCCCCCATTTCCCCCCTTCCCACCCTGCCTCTGTGGCAGGGCACTCCCTTTTGTTCTCTCTCTCCTTTTGGGTGCTGTGGTTTGCAAAAGAGGCAATGAATGGCAATCATGTTTGGTCTATAGTCTACTTTTAGCATGCTTCTCCCATCCTGGGAGAATCCTCCCAACACACTTTATTTGGTGCTCCCTTCTCTATCTGAGCTGCCTTTCCTCCTAACATGTGTGGCAGGCCTCCAAGCCATGGAGCAAACTTCCTGGTACTAATCTCGGCTATTCTTGGGTGTTAGCCTCCTATTTTGTTACTTTATGTTCCCTAGATGAATATAATCTTTCTATGTCTGTCCCTCTCTTTCTGACTCATTTCGCTTAGCATGATACTTTCCATATAGTACCACTTGTATGTAAATTTCATGACTTCATATTTTCTAACAACAGCTACATAGTACACCATTGTGTAGATGTACCAAAGTTTCTTTAACCAGTCATCTGTTCTCGGGCACTCAGGTTTTTTCCAGATTCTGGCTATTGTAAAGAGTGCTGCAATGAACAAACAAGTGCAGATGTCACTTCGACTACACTTTTTTGCCTCTCTGGGATATATTCTCAGGAGTGGTATTGCTGGGTCAAATGGGAGCTAAATTTCTAATTTTTTGAGAATTGTCCATACTGTTTTCCAAAAGGGCTGAACCAGTCGTCATTCCCACCAGCAGTGAAGGAGGGTCCCTTTCTCGCCACATCTGTGCCAGCACCGGTTGCTTTTGTTCTTTTGGATGTGGGTCAGTCTCTGTGGTGTGAGATATCTCATTGTTGTTTTGATCTGCATCTCCCTGATGATTAATGATGTAGAGCATTTTCTCATGTGCTTTTTGCCATTCAGATTTCTTCTTTGAGAAAATTTCTGTTCATTTAATCGCCCCATTTTTTTGATGGGGTTGGATGTTTTCTTCTTGTGGAGTTCAACCAGTACTTTATATATCCTTGTTGGATGTGTATTGGACGAATATCCTTTCCCATTCTGTAGACTGTCTTTGTATTTTGGTCATTGTTTCTTTTGAGATGCAGAAGCTTCATAGTTTAAGATAGTCCTATTTGTCTATCTCTGTTTTCACTTGCTTGGCCAGTGGCATGACATCTTTGAAGATATCATTAGCTTCAGCGTCATGGAGGGTTTTGCCAACTTTGTCTTCAATGTACCTTATGGATTCTGGTCTGATATTGAGGTCTTTAATCCATTTTGATCTTACTTTTGTACATGGTGTTAGGCAGAGATCTGAGCATGTAGCCATCCAGTTTTGCCAGCACAATTTGTTAAAGAGGCTTTCCTTACTCCACTTCACATTTCTTGCTCCTTTATCAAAGGTTAGATGATCATATGTTTGATGGGAGATGCCAGTATATTCAACCCTGTTCCATTGGTCTGCAGCTCTGCCTTTGTTCCAGTACCATGCTGTTTTAATTATTACTGCTTTGTAGTAGAGTTTGAAGTTAGGGAGGTTGATTCCTCCCATTTTCTTTTTCCCAAGAATTGCTTTAGCTATTCGTGGGGGCTTATTGTTCCATATGAATTTCAGGAGTGTTTGCTCCATTTCTTTGAAGAATGTCATGTGTATCGTTATAGGGATCACATTGAATTTGTACAATGCTTTGGGAAGTATTGCCATTTTGACAATGTTAATTCTCCCGATCCATGAGCAGGGGATATCTTTCGATTTTCTCATGTTCTCTTTTATTTCCTGAAGTAGCGTTTTGTAGTTTTCTTTGTACAGATCCTTTACTTCCTTAGGTAAGCTGATTCCTAGGTACTTTTTACACTATATCCCATCACTGTTTTTGGGCCATGAGGGTTTCATCAGACAAATCAGCTGTGAATCTTAAGGATGCTCCTTTGTAGGAAATTTCTTTCTTTGATCTTGCTGCTTTCAGAATTTTGACTCTATCTAAGGTTTTGGTCATTTTGATCAGGGTGTGTCTTGGGGTATTTTTATTCGGATTTCTTCTAGCTGGTACCCTTCGGGCCTCCTAAATGTGATCATATGTTTTCTTCAGCTCTGGAAACGTCATAGCAATGATGTCTTTGACAGTTTATTTTTCATCAGGGTTTTCTTCCTGTCCCTCTGGGACTCCAATAATTCTTATGTTACCCCTCTCTGCTTGAGATGCAGAATGAATTGAGATGGGCTTAATGAATTATTGGCAAATGTGTTTCTGGTGGTTAAGCTAATCTAGTGAAAGTTCCATCTAAGAGGGTAACTTATGGTTCCTATGCGATATGTAGTGGGAGAATAACTTGCGGCCGCATTAGTGGCCGCGGCTCCGGGAAGGGGCCCTGGCGCCGGACGGGTACCTGGTTGAATGAGAAGAGTGCCCAGAGCGGTTCAGCTTTGTTTCTGCACGGTGTGCCTCAATTCCCATTCCCTGCAGACC